AGGCAGGCGGATCGCTTGACCCCAGGAGTTTGAGGTTGCTGTGAGCTAGGCTGACGCCACGGCACTCACTCTAGCCTAGGCAAGAAAGCGAGACTCTGTCTCAAAAACAAAACAAAACAACAAAAAAATTATATTTAAGCAAAATGTTTTAAAAGAACATGTAGGCCAGGCACGGTGGCTCACGCCTTTAATCCTAGTACTCTGGGAGGCTGAGGCAGGAGGAGGATCGCTCAAGGTCAGGAGTTCCAAACCAGCCTGAGCAAGAGGGAGACCCCATCTCTACTAAAAATAGAAAGAAATGAATTGGCCAACTAAAAATATATAGAAAAAATTAGCTGGGCATGGTGGCCCATGCCTGTAGTTCCAGCTACTCGGGAGGCTGAGTCAGAAGGATTGCTTGAGCTCAGGAGTTTGAGGTTGCTGTGAGCTAGGCTGGCACCACGGCACTCTAGCCTGGGCAACAGAGTGAGACTCTGTCTCAAAAAAAAAAAAAGAACATGTAACGCCCTTTTAAAGAAATTGCAGCAGTTTACATCACAAAATCCACTTGAATCAGAATATGTATATCCTAAAATGTATATCAGAGAGATGCAGTAATAAAAGATGGATTATAAGATTATACATGGCTCCACTAAGAGATCTTATAGCCCTATTTTAGTGAGTGATTTTCAAACTAATAGGCAAGAATTCACCAACAGAGATTGTTAAAAAAAAATGCAGATTTCCTGGACCCAGTTCCAGAGATTTTTTTTTAAATTTAATTTGTTTTTTCTTTTTTTTTTTTAAAAGCTCAAAGAAGGAAAATACCTGAATAGAGACTCTGAATTTATAAGACCTATGGTGGACCTCAGGAATCTATATAAATTTTAACAAGCATTCAAAAGGTACTCTATTGCAAATAGCCAGGGATAACACTTGAAGAATTCTCAGTATTTTAACTTAATTAAGATCTCCAACTTATAAACAAGATAAGCTAAACAGAGCAAGGTTAAATGCCTTACTTAAGTTCAGAGTTCTTCATTCCTGCCAGGCTGACACAGTTAAATCTTCCTCCAATCCTGGTCCCTTGCTGTTTCTCAAGGCCTTCCCACTATCTTGCTCCTATCACTTTCAAAGCCAGCTTCTGTGACAAGGCCTATCAAGCCCACCTGGGCCCACACTGAGGTTGTATTGTTAGTTTTTTGAGTATACCTTTTTCCACAACAGGAACAAAAAGCTCCCCATAGAGAAACTGAGCTTTTACTTTTGTATCCCCCTTCACAGTGAGATATACTAATATTGCATTCCTGTTCACTGCCTACAATTTGTGAGATATGGCTTACAAATTGAAGGCAATAAAAGTACAAAATACTCCTTAGCCCTGGAAAGCAGTTTTCTAACTGTAGGGCATGCCTCACAATCAAATGTGAAACCAATTTAGCAGGTCACATATAATATTAAGAAAAACAAGTTTTGTGTGGGTGTATTGTAACGTAAACTATATTTCTTACTGTGGGTTGCAGTCAAAAAGGTTCGAAAGCCACAATTTCGTAAATACTGATTAAACTTCTCCAATACATTTTCAACATTCTGTATACAAAGATACTTTCCCACTCAATACTCAGCCACCCAGTCTTCCCATTCTTCACTCAAGATAACACTAGCTTTACTTATTCATTTTCAATTTCCTTAGCTCAGATGAAAAGGAGGAGGGGGTAAGTCCTAAGGCTAATGAGCATTTTCCACAGTACTTTATAAGCATTCACCACAGTGTTCCTTCTTCAGATGACTCATCTGAGTGTTATGTACTTCATATGGGCTCTTAGAACACCTGTCTCTCAACTCAAGTCCATCTGAAATTCTAGACGTCCCAAATAGGGCTTTGAACTTTTTACAACCTGCTTCATCCACACAGGCTTACGCTTAATCTGTTTTTCTCAAGATTAACTTCTTCCCTTACTTTGGAGCCAGGTTCTCTTTCTATCATAACATTACTTTCAGATAATCCCTGATACTCTCTATAAATTTTTAAATTATGTATATTCCAAATCAGTCCTATTTTCTCTTCTCCTAACTTAAGGGAGTATTCACATTAATAAAGTTGTGCCCTTTTCTAGGTTTTGTATGTATCTCGCATCTGCTTAATTAGCTGACAAAATCTAGGCCTGATAACACACTGTGACCTATCACATCTCTAATAGAGTCGTCTTCTTGTCCTGTTACCAATAATACTCTTCTTGGTTTGAACTCAAACCCCATTTCCATCAATAACTTTCCTAAAGCCCTCCAATGGAATTAGTCTTCCAATCTTCAAACATTCTATTCACCCCTCTATAGCACCTATCAGTCTATGGAATTTATAATTATAAATCTGTCTCCGTGATTAACTCTCGTATGTGTATACCTCGCACTGCCCATGAAACACTAGAGCACACTTTACATAGCAAGGCCTTGGTACTGGCTTACTGAATTGTACTGAAAAGGTAAAAGCACTATCTTGGGTAGATATAAAATGGGTTAGGGCCGGGGGTGGTGGCTCATGCCTAATCCCAGCACTCTGGTAGGCTGAGGCCGGAGGATCACTCAGGGTTAGGAGTTTGAGTGAGACCAGCCTGAGCAAGAGACCCTGTCTCCACTAAAAATAGAAAGACATTAGCTAGACAACTAAAAAATATATACAAAATAATTAGCGGGCATGGTGGTGCATGCCTGTAGTCCCAGCTACTCGGGAGGCTGAGGCAGAAGGATCACTTGAGCCCAGCAGTTTGAGGTTGCTGTGAGCTAGGCTGATGCCACCGTGCTATATAGCCTGGGCAACAGAGGGAGACTGTGTCTCAAAAAACAAATAAAAAAGGTTAGAAGTTGTTTCTAATTCTGCACACCTTCCATATTCTTAATTTGCTCAATTGTAAAGTATTTAAAAAACATAAAACCTATAATAGATATCACAGGAATGGCAATAAAGAATGTAGAAGTAAAACATGAAGGCATGATAAAATTTAGGTGATGCCCTCTGCATTTCCACACGTGGCCTAGTAAATCTCTGCCTGAATTCCCCTCTCAGCTTTCACCATTCTGCCCTGTCATTCCCTTTTACTCTACTTCAAAAACCTCCCATACCAGGGGTGTACAACAGACCTCTTCACTGAACTCGGCTTACCTCTTTCTCATAGGGCCATATACCCCAAAGTATATTAGGTAACCCACTCTTTCTTGCCTTGCTCATGTTCCGGTCTCCGTTGGCCACATTCACCAGAACAAGAGTAAGGAACCATTTCCCTCTAACAGTCCCAACTAAAATGGAAGCGCGTCTAGACCTGGACACCTTTAATCCTCTGTAAGCCCCAGAGTTTTTAGGTCACCGTATCTCCTCCACTGGCTACCGTTTCAATGTGATTTGAGATAGACATCTGTCTTCCAAGCGCAGTCTTTCCATAACTTCCCAGCCTATGGTCCCACTACCCTTCACATGCAACCTACCTTGCAGGCCTTTAAGGAAGGTTGATATGTTATTCCAGCCGTCACGTTTTCCGAAAATAGTTTGAAACCCGGGCACTTTTATTTAAGTGGACCCCCAGATGTTTCAACTTCCTTCCTTGAAACTGGTCTTCCTCACCCGTCCTATACTTCCTGAGTTTCCCCATTCCCCAAGTAACATGTCCACCTATCACCTTCTCCTCCACTTTGGAGCTCTACGTCTCAACTAACGCCTCTCTTTTCCCTTCCCTGCTGAGGTTTGGTCTCCCCTAGCTCGAGGGTCTGTATCCACGCCGGCCCGTCGCACCAGCTCCTAGCCCCTATTCCACCGCTTCTCCTCTCCTACTCACTCTGGGTTTCTCCGTCAGTTTCTTCCGGTTCTTCTTCTTCTGCTCCTCGCTTCTGAGGTTCTTCAGCAGGGCCAGGTCGTCAGGGGCCGCGGCCGGCGCGGCTGTCGCCTCCTCCCGCTTGCGGGGCGTGCTCCTCCGCTTCTTGCGGGCGCCGGCGCAAGCCGCGGCCCAGCCGTAGCCCAGCAGTACCAGCAGCAGCAGCCCAAGCGCGCCCGTGCCTACCAGGATCACCCAGCCCGGGTACCGCTTCGGCTCCAGCCCGAGGTCGAGGCCCAGCTCGGTGCGCAGAAAGCCTAGGCCAACCGAGAGCATTTCCCGCAGCCGGGCCGAGCCCTCCTCGGCCTGCTGGGCCAGCTCGTCCTGCCAGCTCCGCGCAGCCATCTTCCCTCCCGTCAGGGGGACTCAAGGATGACGCTGGGGCGCGGAGACGCTGTGGACTAGTCAAGGGAAGCAAGGAGGGGCCGGGCCGGGCCGGGCAGCCTCAGGCCGAGCGCATCGCGGCCGCCCCTCGCGCCCGAGCCGGGGATCGGCCGCTGTCGCCACGGGGAGGCGAGAGGGGGCTCCCAGGTTCCCCCTAGTCAGCCTCACTCCGCCGCCGCCAGGAGGAGGGGGCAGGCGGGAGGGAGTGTCTCCAGCGGCGGCCGCTAAGCGGCGTCTCCGCGCCAGCGCCAGGCCCCGCTGTCCTCCCCGGGAGGAACAATGGCGGCTCGGGCAGCGATCCACGCCGCGCGCGGGGACGACCGCCAGTCACGTGGGCGCAGGTGGGCGGGGCGTGGGCGTCACATGGACGCGGGCGCGGTCGGGCTGGGCGGGAGCAGTTGGGGCGAAGGCGCGGCTGTGGTGCGGTTGCCGGTAGCCCTTTGGGCCTAGTTGAGACGCGGGGCATGGGGACGGTGACTCTGGACAGGGGACTGGGAGGGGTTAAGTGGCGGAAGCCTCCGCGGGGTGGCTGGTGGCGCGGAGATCAGAGACGTGGCGCTCTGAATGAGTCAGGGGGCGGGAGGAGGAGGGTGAAGAGTCTGGAACCTGCTAGGTCAAAGTCGTCCTAGCGGGTGTAGGGTTTTCGTTTTCTTTTCGGGGTTGGTGTTGAGGTGGATGTAGCTTTTTCTTCCTGGGGACTCCAGTCCACTGGATGCTTCCACAGTGAACTCACTGGAGTCTGAACTGAAGCCGGGCACTCTTCTTGCAAGGCCTAGGTTTAATTTACAAATTGGATATTTCTCTTCAGGGCCAGCTAACGTATTGGCGTGCCTGCCATTTGCCAGCCATGCTAGGGCGCGTTCGCATCGTTTCGCTCATTCACTCTTGCTTTTCACTGTTGTTAGTTCTCAGTATTCAAAAGCTGGCAAGCTGGTGGGCGGCTCTATTCTTCTACTAATTTGTAGCTTTAGTAAGAAATAAGAGGAAGCACATTAGATTGTATTTACGTGTAGAGGTAGCTTTCTCGTTGAGTTTTATTTTAAGCTTTTATACACCGCAAAAAGAGTTTTACAAAATCCTATTTTATATGCTGTGTTGACCACCTGTGGGATGCAATTAGAAGGGAAGGAATTGCCTTTTCAAATTTTAATCACAAGAAAATGTTTGGAGGCTGCCAGAGGGTTTTAAAATTCCATTTCTCTGTAAGAAAACTGTTTTATCATTAAATGATAATTAGCATGTGAGCAAGTGTCTTAAGTGAACTAAATACGGGCTTTCTCAAAGAATATCGCAGGGCTAATATTAGTAAGCACCGAATGCCAAAAATGTATTAGGGAGTATTTTGACCTACTTTGCAACAGTGTTGTAACGCATGTTGTGATTAATGGGTGGAAGGGAGTTTTGTAAATAATAGAAATAAATTACTCTTGCTAAACTTTATACAGACTTATAATTAAAAATTAAATTACAAGGCCCAAAACTTAGAAGATGTCATCGGGATTTGCTTTAGCTCTAAAAGTTTCCAAGTTACACTTATATTTGTGAAATAAAATTTGTAATTCTACATATATATTTTGTTTCCAGAGACATGAAGGGTCATGATTTTCCTTAGAAGTTTCACTAGCTGTTGTAGATTAACACCTATGGATTTAACGCATTAAACTATTAATAGTAGTAGTAGTGGGATTTCCAGTCCTTTTGGCAGACTAGCAAGTATTGATTCAGTAAAATCAATCACTTTCTTTTTTTCTGTGACCTTTAAATCTTAAAAATGGAAAAACAAAAATATGTTTACCTGTATTCGGTAATACAGATAAACTCATTTTTCATGTATAACTTTTTTTTTTTTTTTTTGTTGAGACAGAGTCTCACTTTGTTACCAGGTTAGAGAGAGTGAGTGCCCTGGCGTCAGCCTAGCTCACAGCAACCTCAAACTCCTGGGCTCAAGCGATTCTGCTGCCTCAGCCTCCCGAGTAGCTGGGACTGCAGGCATGCACCACCATGCCCGCAATTTTTCTATATATATAGTTGCCAATTAATTTCGTTCTGCTTTAGTAGCGTAGAGATTGGTCTCACTCTTGCTCAGGCTGGTTTAGAACTCCTGACCTTGAGCAATCCGCCCGCCTCGGCCTCCCAGAGAGCTAGGATTACAGGCGTGAGCCACGGCGCCCGGCCCATGTATAACTTTCTTGTCATCTTTCCATTTGTTTACGTTTTAAAAACAAAAATGGAGTCAGACACTATTTACTGTTTTGCACTTAATGCAGTCATCAACATTCATTCCAACTGATAAAGCCCATCTGGTAAACGCACCAAGAACACACCTGTAGTCCCACAAATTTAAGTTTATTCATTTGCAGCAGGATGGAGTTTAGGCTAAATTTAAATAAAGCAATATTTTGAAAAACTCAAAGCAAAGCAGGGCTGTACGTAAATGAATTAATATCAGGTCTGGCCTAAGTAGACAGAGAATCCTAATTCCTTGTAAATGACAAAGTTAAGATGTTGTGTTTGAAACCCCTTACATGAAGTTCTACACCTGGGCTGGAAATAAGGACTTTTTTTCTAGGAGTGACAACACATAGTGCCACTCAGAAATAAAAAGGAATGAACTATACTTTCAAGAACATGGACAAATCTCAGTATAATTATACTGACTGAAAGAAGCCAGACAGTAAAGAGTATATATTATATGATTCCATTTATATAAAACTAGAAAATGCAAACCAATCTGTAGTGACAGAAAGCAAATTAGTGGTTACTTGGGTATATGGGATGGGAGCAAGGAGATATGGGAGGAGGGAATTACTAAGGGGCACCAGGAGACTTGGGAGTGATGGTTATGTTCATTATTTTTATTGTGATGGGTTTTTTTTTTTTTTTTTTTTTTTTGGTGCCGTGACTCGGATACGATATTGTGATGGTTTTATGGATATACATATTTCAAAAACTTATCAAATTGTATACTTAAGTTCTATAGTTTAATTAGTGTCAACTATGCTCCAATAAAGCAGTTCAGAAAAGTTTTTATAAAACAACTCATGGCTCAGATCCTAACATCCCTCAGTGAGATGTTCCATTCTCACTGATGGGATTTCTAACAAAGTTTTTGACAATCTATGATTTCAAAGAACAAGGTTTCTTGATATTACATCCTTGATGTTAATTAGCAAAAGTATTTTTTTACAGGTTTGCATGATAAATATTCACTTACAGTATCATTTCTAATGGCAAGATATTCTATTGTCTGTCTCTGCTGAAGTTTAACATACGTTTTTGTTTTTTTTTTTGCCATTAAATGCAATTCTGTCATGAACATGCTTGTAACTAAATCTTTGTGAATATTCATGATTACTTCCTGAGGTTAGAATCCTAGCACTGTAATTGCGTGAAATGTAGCTTGGCTTTTAGTAAATCTGACCTGCTTAGCAATTACAGGTATGAATCATGCATTCCCAGTGAAGTGGTATAGCTCCCATGGGAGTGAAAATTATTGGTTCTTGGAGGCAAAAAATCTTTTTTAATGCATAAATTTCAGATATAGTATATACACAGATATATATCTGTGGCATTAAAATTTCATGAGGGGCAATTGGTAAAAAATATAAAAGACTTGAGGGGGGTGGTGATGAAAAATGGTTGAGAAACACTGGTGTAAAGGAAGAATTTGGCACTCTGTTTTCTCAGTTTGGGTCCTGGGCTTTTGGTTAATCAGTCTCTCTAGGTCACTTATTCAGTCACCAGATTTTTATTAAATCCCAACTCTCAGCTTTAAATGCATAGTATCCTCAAAAATCTCAAAACCTAGTGAGAATGTTGGAGCCTTCCTTAGTGCAAAGGAGTGTGACTACAGTAAGTTGATTTGAGCCTGAGGATTGTAGTGAGTGCTGCAATGTACCTCCTGGATCCCTTTTCAGGAATGAAGGAGTTATTCCCAAACACTGAGAGTATTGCCAGAAGACATTCCTAGACTGTCATACTTTTGAGGAAATTACTGAAGAAAACTCTCAGTTAAGGTCATGCCTCTTTCCAGGGATAGCCCACATCTAATGAAACGAAAAGATGGTGTTGGATTTCAAAAATTCTACTAGCAGGAAGCAGGATAAGAAAACCACTTAGCTTTAAACTTTACACCTTTCATGAAAAAGGCAGGCAGACTTAGGAGGTAGAACCAAGAGCACAGAAGGTGGCACCAAGACCTACAGAAAAGTATTCCCAGATTTTGAAACTTAATCAAGGAACTTCCAACATTTGCTGAGCTACATTCCAGAATTGCTATGGACCACTGCCTTTGTACCTTCCATTCCCCTACTTTTGAATGGGAATACCTGTGCTGTTTTTCCTTGCCTGTAGCACCATTGTATGTTGGCCGTCTAGGGGAAGGAAACTTGTCTCTCTACAGGTCTGCAGATTGAGAGGAGTTGTGCTTCAGGAGGTGTGCTTAACAAGCTACACCTAAAGGTGCCTCATCCACACCTGGACTTGGTTTGTATGGTGAGATTCTGGACTTTGAGCAGATGCTGTAATGGGATGAGACTCTTGAAGACGTTAGAAGAGGGTAAATGTGTTTTGCATGTGGAAGTGATGTAAATCATTGGGGACAAAAGGGCAGACTGTGGTAGGCATTTTCTTTTCTTTTTTCTTTTGGGACAGTCTCACTCTGTTGCCTGGGCTAGAGTGGTGTGGTGTCAGCCTAGCTCACAACAATCTCAAAATCCTGTGCTCAAGTGATCCTCCAGCCTCAGCCTCCTGAGTAGCTGGGACTATAGGCATGTACCACCATGCCCGGCTAATTTTATATGTATATACTTTTAGTTGTCCAGCTAATATCTTTCTATTTTTTTGGTAGAGATGGGGTCTCACTCTTGCTCAGGCTGGTGAACTTCTGAGCTCAAACGATCCTCACGCCTTAGCCTCCCAGAGTGCTGGGATTACAGGTGTGAGCCACTGTGCCCAGTCTGTGTTAGGCACTTTCTAAAATGGTCCCCAGTGATCCCTGTCTTTTGGTATTCACAGCCTTGTGTAATCCCATTCTCTTAGGTAACTTGCTTCTAACCCATAGAATACTTGATATTGAGGGAATATCACTTCTATGATCAGATTACAGAAGATTCTGACTTCTATCTGGCTAGCAGACTTTATTCCCTGATGGCTTCGATGAGTCAAGTTGCCATGTTGGAAGGACACGTGTCAAGGAACTGAGAGCAGCCTCTTGTCCAACAGCCATCTGGGAACTGAGGCTTTCCAGCCAACAACCCAAAAGGAACTGAATCCTGTCAGCAACCATATACGTGATCTCAGAAGTGAATCCTTCTTTGGTTAAGCC